CTAGACCTCAACCAAAAGTGAGGTCAACAACTGTGATTATATTTTTCATCTCCCTGTAACTTGACTAAAATGTGGTAGGTGGACACCGCGACTCTGAAGTGATTTAGTAGTGGGCGACCAAAAATGGCATTGCAGGTTATGAGTGAATCCATGATTAAGAAATCTTATGTCTCCATGAACTACTTCTCTCCTTTGCCTTAGGTGACCACAAATGGCATTACACTCAACACCTTTTTACTTTCATCTGAAAAACCAAAAAGTGGGCCTCCCAACTCTACCAACCAATCATCTCAAAGATTAAGCTTATCGAACATTGACTTAATCATAATGTTCATGGAGCTATCAGTGTCGATGAGGATACTCCCAACTTGAAACATACTAATTATCCCCGTAACGACTATAACATTATTTTAGGGATTTCCCCATTAAGGAAGATTGTTATCTGTGAATGTGATGAGAGAAAAACCGCCTCTCCTTAGCATTGATGCAAGGTTGCACAACTCGCCCATCCTGGTCCTCTTATGGAAGCTCCACCGGGGACATCTATTCCTTCGAGGATAGACAAGACTTTCCTATCAACATGGAAGATATTCGTCCAAACGGGTTCAAGCAGGGCCATTAGCACTAGCGCCTTGTCATGTCTTTGACCCGAATACCTAGGCCACGAACTCCTTTAGCTTATCTGTCTTGATCAAATCCTCAATGAGATTACAAAGTGCTTACTCCATTTCATGGTTGTGATCCTGATGATACTTACAATATTTCCTCGCATCTCGGAGAAAACCTTCGGCTCTCACCAACGCGGTCCTTAAAATAGTCTAAATGGAGTCTGCAATTTCTTTCATTAACACCTTCAAAGGGGTAGCTCGAAAGCCCTCAAAATTTTTGTATGGTTGTTTAAAACGTTGTGCCGACATCTTATATTACTGAACTGGTCCTGGGTCCTGATTCATTACCTATTCACCGTGTTGGTTGTACCGCTCAGTCCTTCTATTATCATGAGAGGATTGAACATCTTCAAAATGGCGTCAGACATGTAGTAAATGTTCCTCCCTCGATTTTGGTCTCGCCGTCGTGTGGAGCTCTCTTATGAGCATGAAACCCTTCCGGTTCTCGCTTGGGGGCACTCTCCTCCGCTAGCATGTGTTTGTTAGCTCTCTCTAACTGCTCGACCAAATCTTGGGGTTCGTAATACTGAGGATGTAGATAAACATCTTAGACATCAAGGCTTGAGTCAAGTCGACTATGACTGCATCAAATTTGAGGTCTTTCACCTCCAACATCTCCCTCTGTAAGCATGTAATGAATGTTTGTAGACTCTCGTGCTTACCTTGCTTGAGTTTCCACAAAGATTGCACACTCTTGGTGAGTTTCCAGGCACTGGTGAACTACACTAAAAACAACCTCTCAAAATCAGCAAAGTTATTGATGCTCCTGACCAGAAGCACATAGAAACACTTCAAGGTTGATGACCTCAAAATGGTGAAAAACAGAAGACACTTGAATGCGTTAAAGATTTTGAGCAAGCATACAACCGACTCAAATGCAGTGATATGGTCGATGGGGTCTGATCGCCCACTAAAAGCTTCCAAGGCCAACAATTTGAATATGTTTGAAGGCTCCACTCCAGTCACCTAGAGGAAGAAAGGATTCTCCAGCTGATGTGGCACCTTAGTCAACAGTTGAACGCGTTGCCTTTCCACATATGTGGATTCTTCACTCTCTTGATACAGTGAGTCGCCGACCCCCTCCGGACACTTATTTGCCCTTATATCGTTGTGCACCAATGCCATCTCCTGTGGCTGATCCTATTCTTGTGGGGCTTAATTTACAGCCAAGACTATGATGACCCTTAAGAGTTCAATGATCTGGCTCGATACATGCTCCATGATCTGAGTTCTCATCTCATGCATTCTTCTCTGCGTACGTTTCTTGATGTTGTCTCGTGGGGGAACTACGTTGGCTACTACTCTTTAGTCGCTCCATTCTCTCTATGATTGTTATTTTTTTTCTTATTGGCGACATGACTCCATACTCACCTCACCTTTTATAATATTGAATCCAAATATGTCCTGGAGACATGTCCAAGGAATAAAGCGTTGGAGAATGAGATAAAGAGAGGGAGATAGGGGAGAAATAATATAGTAATAAACAATAAATTTGTGTCACCTTTATTTATGATATGGACCGCATTTTTTCAGGAACAGGACATTGCATAATTGCATACTATACCCCTAAAGCATGAAGGTATTACGAGGGAATTTCAATCCATACATAAAAATGACTTGTGGGACCCATGAATTTGATCGGGCGGCCGTCAGATCGGTTGACCATTATGACCATTAAGCCGAGTGGCCATGGCCTCGTGAGACAATCAAGTCAGGTGACCACGAGGTAGGGCTACGATTAGGCTGGGTAGCTATGAGGCTCGATGGCCGTTAATATGGGCGGCTAGGAGGACAGACGGTAACTTGCTAAGGGTCACATCGACCATTATGAAACCTGAGGATCCACTTCTCTTTCACATCACATCGACCATTACGGGACCAGAGGATCCGCTTCTCTTTCCCGATCTATCCTGCTTGGAAAGCGACACTCATTCGAGTGGATCTCGTCAGATGAAATTTTCAGGGATGATCTTCCAATTATCCATCTGAGGCTCGTCATCTTTCTGATATGCGAGACTGATCATCTGAGCATGTGAACACGAGTAGTCCTTGGTATGCCACGTCACCTCTTTTGTCATCCACAAAATATCTTGAAGATTCATGCTGACACGGTTTTTGATATACAACTTGTAAATCTTCCTAAATTGTAAAGCTTCCAAAATTCTAAAGTTTTTTTTCATGCAATATTGCTAATCTTCAGGGTGCAGAGAGTGAGAAAAGAAAATAAAGCGAAAGATAAGAAAAGACTGCTGCAACTGCAAGCAGAAAGAAAAAGCTCATATTCCCTGCACATCGTCATGTCCTCTCACCGGGCAATACCGTCTCTCTTCGCCTTTCCCTCTCTCTCCACACTACTACTAAGCATGGATTGCCATTCAACTTCCCCCTCGGCGGCGGCCGCGATCTTTTTTTTATTCGCGGCCACGATTGCGAGAGCAGGTGAGGCGGCGCAGTGGTGCATAGCTCGGAGTGATGCAAGCTCGACGGCGCTTCAAACAGCCCTGGATTACGCTTGCGGTCCCGGTATGGCGGATTGCCTACCTATACAGCCAAATGGTCTCTGCTACCTCCCCAACTCGCTGCCGGCGCACGCCTCCTACGCCTTCAACAGCTTCTATCAACGTTCCGGATCCTGCGATTTCGCCGGCGTCGCGACCGTCAGCATCACCGACCCGAGTTTGTACTTCTCTCCACCTCTGCTTTTTAAGAGAGTTTTATTAGAATTTAAGATCGTAATTAACAGCAAAATACATTTGTAAAACTGTTATTTAAATTTAAAAGTGTACATTAAAACAGCTACTAATTTTTTAATGATTTTTATTAAATTATTGATAATTGAGAGTGATACATACCATTTAATGCTGAAATTTAATAATTAAATTATATATATATATAATATATATATTATAGTTTTAGCCGGGCTCAAACCAACTTTGGATTGAGCTTGATCTTAATTATTATTCAAGATTTAAGTTTGAACTCGAGTTGAATTATAAGAATTCGAGCTGGCTTGTTTATCATGAGATAGAAAAAAGTCATATTTATTCAAGTTAGCGTTAGAATGAAATGATAAATTGACTGGAGCAATCAAATGTTATAAAATATAAGTATAATTATTAAATAGTTTAAACAATTAACAAGTAAAATCTTTAATTTTAATTAATTTATTTTATTTTAATAAACCTTTTAAACGAGTCAGTTTACGAGTTAAGGAATCAAATCAAAGATGACTAGAGCTCGACTTATTAGTTCATGAGCGAGCAATCAAATCAAATGTTAGCTTGCTCATGAGTTGACTTAGATCCCCAGTTGAGTGTTTCAAAATTTTGTCCCTCAAGAAAAAATGCAGGCATTCAATACTAGGTGTTATAAATATTCACATTTATTATGATGGTGAAAACTCGTCAAGTTCAGACAAAAGTTGAAAATTTTGGATAAAAACACATGCAAAATTGTAGATTTTCTTGCATTTTTTATGAATTCTATAATCATGTGATTTAGATATAAGGTCTGTTTGGGGTAGCAACATCTACCCCTAGGAAGCCGTTGCGGATAAGGTGGTCCACTGTTTGTTTTTTACAGTTTGAAAACTGCTGTGCGGCTGCTGCTTCTGGACAAATGATTATTTTACCCATGTGTAGTAATGATGTTTGTAATGGAACTGTCATAACAATATATTTAATAATTGAGAAACAAAAATAATTTCAAAACAAAAAATAAGATATACACATCACTTAATAATGAGTAGCAAGATTGCTAAAAAAAGAAAAAAAAAACTATTAAAATTACATTTAATAATATGATGATATTATTTTTAATGATATTATTTTTAAAATGCAAATGCAGACGACGTATGTTACGAGTTACGCCGTTCTTCAGGGTTGTTATCCATTTCCGATCACCATTGGTAGATGAATCTGCCAGACTCTATGCCAATCATAAAAAGACATATTTCTCCTTGATTTTCTGCGGACACTTGTAGAATTGTCTCCCGTTGATATGTGTCTGACATGACGTCAGTAGGGATGTCTGAAGTTCGTAGTGGTAGAGCAATCGTCGGGAGGTCCCTGAAATCTTGGAGTTCTTCTTTCATGAATGCTACAAAAGATAATCCATTAGTCATAACATAAGTTAAAATTGCTAAAAGAAGTAATTAACTACAGTTTTTTTTTGCAGATACGAGGTCTCAGAGAACTTAGTATATCAACCACTGAATCTGTCACTATAAAAATATAACATACCTTGTTAAAAAATAGATTCTTGGTTGCCTTTAACTCATGTAAAACTAAGCTCGTGTGTGTAACATATGCATATCACTAAAAAATATCATCCAAAAGATCCTAAAAAATCATATCACAAAAAAAAAGGAACTTGGTTGCCTTCATTAGGATTTTACATGTGACACCAACCAACAACGACTAACTGGTCATCCAAAAGAATCCATAAGATCAAACGTCTCATCATAGACTTCTCAGACCCACCAAAAGAAAAAAAAATTAAATGCAAATGGAAAAAATAACACCTACAAATAGTGTAAAAAACCCAAACAATCAATATTAAATATATAAGAAACGAAATTAACAGAAGTTATACAAAATAAACAAGCAGAAATTGATAAAAAAGTAAGTAATTACATTTTTTTGCAATAACACTTACAAATAGTGTAAAAAACTCAAACAATCAATATTAAATATATAAGGAACGGAAATAACAGAAGCTATACAAAATAAACAAGTAGAAATTGATAAAAAAAGTAAGTATTTACCTCTCAAACCACCATCACTGCTCTTTAAGGGGTGTTTAGATACGTGCCACACAATTTTTATGTATTTACATATCTAAAAACTAAACATGCATATTTACATGCATAATACTCAAATCTGCATATCAAAAAACTACCATCACTGCTTTTTAAGGGGATTTAGATACCTGTCACACAATTCTCATTTATTTACATATTTAACAACTAAACAATTACAGTTACATGCAAAATACTTAAATCTGCAGATAAAAAACCACCATCACTACTCTTTAAGGGGCAGTTGGATACCTACCACACAATTCATATGTATTTACGTATCTAACAACTGAACATTCATATTTACATACATAATACTCAAATCTGCGCATCAAAATACCACCATCACTACTTATTAAGGGGCAGTTGGATACATGTCACACAATTCTTATGCATTTACATATCTAACAACCAAACATTCATATTTACATGCATAATACTCAAATTTGCACAGAAAAAGGTGTTATAAGTGTGGTTTGTATGATAATTTTCCTGCAAAAAAATCAGTTACCACAACAAATAAATGATCAAAAGATATCTCACATATGACTGCAATTCAAGATAGATGAACTCAGACACCAAGAAAACTTGCATGGCTTCCTTAAAGAAATTCTGTCGAGCATCACTAACTGCTGGTTTTTTTTTTGAAAGATTTGCATGCATACCACTCAATTCATATGTATTGACATATCTAACATCTTTACTTCAATTTTTACATACAAATCATCAATAAAAATTTCAAGCACCAACAAATTATTGCAGGACCACGACACACTCCACAACAAATACATAGACCTTAAAAAACCGCCACACCACAAATCCAACACCTCACCACAACAATAACAAAACCAATCACAAATGCATAAAACTAAAAACAACAACTGAAAGCAACCTCCCATCCTCTGTATCTCAATATATTAATCAAAACCATAAAAAATTACCAACAAAAACATCAAGGAAATTCACGAAGTAACGCGAGACCAAAAAATGGGTGCAACTCTCAGAAAACCATCAAGCAAATTCACGAAGGCAATAATACGATTTTATGGGATAGAGGATACCAGAGGTAGAAGTACAAAAGTCCCGAAAGAATGTGACAGATGAACAGTTAGGGCAAAAAAATGCGAGAGCAAAACAGTTAGGAAGAAGCACCTCCGGGAAAAGAAAGAATGTGGGAGCGCTCTGCGGGATGGTTAGGGCAGAAGAGGAGAACACGGGGTCGAGGCGAGGGTGTCTTTGACAAAGTAAAACGAAGAAATGTGGGCGGCATGGTCGAACCCAAAGCTTGTGTTTTATTAAAAATGTTTCGTACTGTGGAGCAAACGACGAACTGTAACCTCTATCTGCGAACGCGACGCCGGTAAATCGCACCCACAAACTGACCCATAATCAAATGGGGTAAAATGGTGTGATGCAATTGGCCTATGAGTATGGTGTTTTTGACCTTTTTTTCTCTGAGCACCCAAAAAAAACTATGAAATATAAGATTTGTCAACAAATATTTTTGATATGTTGCAAGTAGTCTCATCTAAATTTGTTATTATAAATTAAAACCCAAAAAAATATGAATTACAATTTATGCAAATTTAAAGAATATATGTATGGCAAAATTCCCGAGGCCACATTCATAAGAAGAGTTAGCCAAATTGTCAAAATTAAATTGTATATTTGACATAATTAAGTCGGCCAAGTGGTTTGCCCTAGGGGACCTCACACAACAACTTGCCCATACTATCAGGGACCGGCCAACTGAGAGGACGAGATCAATTCACTAACAGGGTGTGCCAAACTAAGGCGATGTTTGAATTCTTACCGAGATCTACATTAAATAGGATTTAATAAATATATATTGTCACTTTGATAAAACCTGCAATGGAGACAAATCTCACATACGACAGAATAAATCCTCTTAATCCATCTCTTATTTAGAATTATTAAGTCAGATTTATGTCATAGTAGAGACGAAACATGATGATTTATGTCATAATAGAGACATAACACGATGAAAAGTGACATAACACGATGAGTTTCATTTTTTTGATGTTTGGCTGGATTAAGCTAAATCATGCCTAAATCCGATTAATTATATATTTATATACTAACAAACACCACCTAAAGGAAATAGCAAACTTGTTATTAAATACTCAAACTCGATTAACACATCATGGCTACTCGTGAGTAACAGTTATTAATGTAAATTTGATAATGAAGAAACACTCATGAGTAACAGTTCTTAATCATTATATAAATTATAACCCCCCAAATCAGAAGAATACAATGAAATTAAAACGGACGTTCATGAAGATCTGTGTCATAATTGTATTGATTGAAGAGATAGCTCTAAATATTATTTGATTTGGAAATAAAAGGAATGAGCATGTATGTAAAGTAAAGTGGGGCTTGTTGAATCCGAATTTATATAATCATTAAGTGCTTATCAGGTCTTCAAATCTAAAACGACTCTCGGATTCTCCTCCATCTTCTTCTGGTTTAGGTTTAAGTCTCCTTCATGAGGGAATATGTCGCTATTTATAGATTCTAGGAGTGATATCTATTATAAATAAGACAGAAATTCATACCACTCCATTAGATTGCTCAGAGCGATTCTTTTGATCAAACAACATTTTATGAGCATTTAAGTGTGTTAATAATGTCCGAATTTAGTTATCTTGTGCTCGTTGAATTTTTATCATTGACACACTCGATTTGACTATAAACTTATTAAATTTAGAATCCATTTGACCCTCCAATCAACCATAAAAAATTTTCAACTGGCTTAACAGCTTGATCCGGACTTGATTTGATTTGGATTTGATCAATTTTGGTGTCATTGGGATCATCTCTTCAAACAGGTCAGTTAAAAAAAAAAAAAGCCTCGAGAT